CCCCCCCCCCCCCCCCCCCCCCGCCCAAAAAAAAATGTGCCTAAAAGCTGTTTTCAGCGTATGCCGATAGCGAAAAGAAGGAAAGTTCTTACCTTACATTCGTGGCTCAATCTGGCTATGGAAGACGTGTTTTTAGATCGTTTAAGTTTGTTTGTTTGTTGTATCTGTAATTCCGCTGAGCATGCAAATTATAACAAAATGGTGGAGGAGAAAGAGCGCAAATTTCGAGGCTTCTCAGAGGCTTCCCGGTCTTTCATATACAGTATGGTCTCAGCAAAGGAAATGGCAATGTGTAACGATATAACTTGCGCCCGAGCCTGAACCCAAGAATGGTACATTTGTAAAATGTAACGTTAGAAATTTCGCCGATACGATCTATTAGATAACCCATAACTGAAATATTTATTTCTCATTTTTTATTCTATTTTGGGGGTGGGGGGGGGGGTTGGTCCATAGAGTGGGTCCGTAGGGGTAGTCTGTGGATTGGCCCATAGGTTGCCGAAAACACTGATCCCCGGTTCGCGGACCCCCATTACGGACCGGTTCCGCGGACCGGGGGTCAGTGTTTTCGGGTTACCCTTAATTGCCAGCAGGTCAGATCGATTGACCGAAATTTATTTTTCTTCAAACTAAAGCTATTCATTTTTAGACGTTGATGACAACTGTGAATGAAGTTAACAACGATAAAACAAAGGTACCGAATGACTTTATTTTTCGTAATGTTTCGCTTGATTGTTTTAATGCCAAACTCGATGAGTAAATTGATTCACAATCGATGTACATGTAAGCTTAATATTAAAACTACGGCTGCATGCATGTATGTAAACGAACAATTTCGTCTGTGTTTTTATGTTTTTGTCCGTTATTTAATTTATTTTGTAGCTCTTGATATTCACCTCTGACAATTATACTGAAACAATTCTTTGCCTCAAGCTCAGTGAACATTGGTGGATATTCACCTCGACTTCGTCTCGGTGAATATTCACCAATGTTCACTTCGCCTTCGGTGAATAATTGTTAATTTCAAACATATCGTGTGGTCTGTGAAAGCTATATCTCTAAATGACGATTCGTTTACACAACATGAAGCGTAAGAAGACCTAAGAACTGAGGTGAGGCGACTGTTTTTTTTTTACAATAACTGATAACTGATAAACGTGCAGGTGGATGGCACACCAATAACAACTAATTCTACTAAACTCACTCCTCTAATTTTTTGTGCATTCCCCAAGACAAATTGAGCTACTTTGAGATACAATTCAATACAACGAGAGAAAGCAGGGAAAAGAACGAAATCTCTAGCGGCAGGCAAATGATCGCAGCGCTGCCAGATTTTCTTCTTCTTTGAGCTAAATAATCTTGTGCGGCTCAGACAGGTAGATGATCTATATATTATTTATAAATGTTCTATAACCCCAGGGGAGGCTCCCAGATAAAAAGGACAGGAGTGCTCGTCGGGAATTTTGAAAGCAATCCCTAAGAGGTACCAAGATCCTGTTTTGTGAGCGTGGTTTGAAATTTTTTTCACCCCTAAGATGTTCCAATTCTAAAATAATACATTATCTCCTGTCATATTTTTTTTCGGTTCAATACCCTAAAAGGTGCTGTAAAAGCTCTCGCTGTGGACGTTTTGAGGCTGAAAATCTTATAGAGGTACTAAAACCGCGTTTTTAACCCCTGAAAGGTACCACGAGCACCCCTGTCCTTTTTATATGAAAGTTACCCCCTGGCAGTAATTTGTAAAATTCTTGAGGTATTTTATAAGAAAGCTTTTGATTGTAATTTTCAGTGGCCTGTCAGTTTTAAAAACCTCTTACAAAACTCACCGTCATAATCAACTTCATTGATCATTGTTTGCAGTTCTTCCTCAGTCGGGTTGAACCCTAGAGAACGCATTATGGAACCCAGTTCCCTTGTAGTTATGATCCCATTTTCATCTCGGTCAAACAACGAGAAGGCGTCCTTGTATTCTGAATGTCGACAAAAAAATATTTCTGAAGTTTTCAAGGCTAAAAACGAAGGTAAGTGTTGCCTCTAGTTTTCAAACCAATATAAAGGAGGCGTTGTGTATCGAATGGGAGAATGCAACTCTAAATAATACAAAGTAGAAATGTTAAAAATTTATATAGCGCGGCTTTCCATGAAATAATCAATTGCGCTTTTCATTATAAAAATTAAAACTAATTCTAAAAGAAGTAAATCTGCAATGGTTGCTAAAAAATTACAAAAGAAACAAACCAACAGCTTAAGAACTCAGATTTAACTCTTTCTTTTTAATCCTTGTGTTATTTGTTTATTTTTTTATTATTTAGTTAGTTAGTTAGTTAGTTAGTTAGTTAGGTATTTATTAAGTTACTTTTTTATCGCTTTTTTTTTATAAATTGTTTAGTTTTGTTATGCATCGCAAATATTTAACGTAATTGTTAGCTCAAGAGTACGGCGTAATTTTAATGACCTTATTTAATATAACGTGATTGTACAATGAAATTCAAATTACGCAACGAGCGTTTGCGATTGAAAATGACATAGGAATGTCAAAACATGGATATTAAAATTCAAAAGAAAATAGAAATAGAAAACGGATAAGGCAAAAAAGTGAAAAATAGACTAAATATTGTTGAGGCTTTTTACATGTAAAAGATTGCTGTAACTCTTATCTTTTTTTCTTTTTTAACGAAGCCAGGAGTATATTTCAACAAATTAAAAATTATGGGTTACACAGGACTGACTGTTTCTTATAAACACGAACCTGTACTACAACAAAAAAAGCAATTAAGTTTAAACAGGCTCCGAGATGTATGCAATAGTTTAAAACCCACTAAGAAAACCACAGTGAGTATTTTGCTTTACCTTCAATTTGCTCGTCAGAGAGTTTTTCCTAAAAAGAAACAAATATCATTTAATTAGTTTAAGCCTCTCGAATATTACTGAATTGAGTTACGACCGGCTAAGGAAAGATATTTGGACAGTCACATACCTAATTGAGAAGTTTAGGCTAATACGCAGTTCAAAATTTAAGTTCAATTCTGCTTAACTAGTAACAATATCGTCTTAGTCCTATTCTGTGTCTTAAAAGATTTCGTTTTGGTAAAGAATGCTCAATTTTCTCTAAGTGAAATTCCGAAAATTTGACCAAAACATCAAAAATTATTTCGCGTCGCGTTAATATTAGTGATATGAGGTTAACGTTTGGATTTAATAAAGTTCATGGGGTGGGAAAGTAATAGTTATCTTCTAAATGATTTTTTTCACTTACATTTTATATCGTGTTTTCATTTAATTTGTACGCGCGCAGCAGATAACCAAAACTAAAGATTGCCTCTCAGCCTCTTTCCGAGGAACATGAGAACGAGATTAATTTTGTCCGCCATCCTCATATTTGGAGATGATTGTTTGATTGTGTCAATAAAAAAGCTTAATTTTTAAAAAAAACAAATAACATAATATATAGTATATATATAATTTAAAACTTTTATGTCAACTGAGGCTCAAGTTTAAAAATATTTACTCTGTTTTAGGGTTATCTTTCGGCCAAGCATGAAATAACTTCAGCACCTCGCGGCAGATGCCATATTTTTGTGGCTGTAGTTATATTTTTTTTCTGGCATATTTTATCAGCTAACGACAAATGATACGCTGGTCTGTTGTTTGAATAATAAAAATGAATTCAAGCACAGAACGGTTTCGGTGTTTTGCGCTAGATCCATCTGCCGACCCTTTGATTGACAACAAAAACCATTTCCGCGATTCATCAAGCAATTCACCATGTGGCCTGAAAGCCTTAATTATTAGCATTAGCAATCGACGCTGTAAAAATAATAAAGGCACAAAACTCATTTTCAATTAATTCTAATTTCTAATATAGATTCTTGGGATATTTAAATTTTTTTTTATTGCTGGTCGAGAATGATTAGTTGAAAAATTTCCTTGTAGTAAGTTCTAAGCAAACCTTTCCCAGTCTAACTTAGAAGCTAAAAACCAACTGAATCAAGCAAATGCCTGTCAACATGAATTTTCTCATACGTTTTCCAAATAAGAAGCAAAAAATATTCCTTGAACCTTAATCAGGATCTGATTCTTCCATTGACATTTCACCTCGAAGTAAATAAAAAGTGATTTACACCACTGTATCAACTCTCATGAGTTTTCTCGCTGAAAAGAAAAACAAGATTTGAATTTGCCTATTTTTTATATACGTTTTGTGTTTTCAAGGTTGCTACGGACACAGTGTTTGCCATTTATGAGTAATAGTATTTTTTGCATCATAAAACACTCTATGAAGAAATATAAATACTGCTTGGTGACAACAAGGGACAACTTACCATGGCGACAAAAAAGAAAGCAGCTCAGATGCGAAGGGCAAGACTCGATGCTTTGGAAAACAATTTAACACATCCTCATGTTTACAAATAGGCTTTTTCAAGGACTTTTGGAAAAAAGTAATTTCATTGGTCGCGGAAATTCTATTTAACAAAGGATACAGGTGACGCCCTTGACAATAATAGTGAAGACTCAATTTTGTTGGGTAGTCAAATGGCAATCAATTTTGCGCATCTGTTTTCTATTAGCAAAAACTCTGCGAGGAAGCGCGCTGAAAGCTTTTCTTCTATTTAACAATTAGATCATGAGCGTGAGATTTCTATGTGCTGATAGTTGATAAGGTCAAAAGCCGAAACAATTATTAGCTCACAGAAATAGAGAGCAAACAATGCAATTTCCTTCAGATATCGATTTCAAAGATTCCTCCTCATATCAAGAAGCATTAAAATTCACGCTTTAGCAAGATCGTGCAGAACGGAAGCGTCATTCGGAACTTACAGTTGTGTACGCGAGATCATCAGTCTTTCAACGGCTTCGAGCTTTTCAAGTCAAGTGACGGTAAATGCCCAGTAATTGTTCTAAATATTTCTCCGAAAGAGTTCCAAAACTTCAGAAAAACGAGAAAACGTGGCCATGTTGAAGATGACCACCAAACATTGCACACTTATGGCTGACAGTGTACTATAGCTCAGCCAATCAGATTACAGTATTTGCGTTAGTGTGCAAATAGAAACACAAAGCCAGCACGAAATGACGACGTTAATAAAGAGAGTTTACGTCTTAATAATCGAAATAACAGTGATTTTCCTTTCTGGCTGACTGACTGTCTAGCTGACTGGTTAACTGACTGGCTGACTGACTGACTGGCTGACTGACTGGCTGACTGACCGGCTGACTGGCTGACAGTCTGAATGACTGACTAGCTGACTGACTGGCTGACTGACTGGCGGACTGGCTGACTGTCTGACTGACTGACTCACTGACTGACTGACTAACTGGCTGACTGACTGACTGACTGACTGACTGGCTGACTGACTGACTGGCTGACTGGCTGACTGGCTGACTGGCTGACTGGCTGACTGGCTGACT